GCCCTGCGCCCAGCGCCCGTGCACCCCTCGGGTCCCCGGCCGGCGAGCTGGACCGGGTCCCCGCTTCGTCACCCGGGCGGGCACGCGGGCGGGGGACGCGTGGGTCGGAAGAGGAGAGGACGGGCGATGGGGCGCGGGGCACACAGGCGTGTGTGGGGAGGACGGACACGTGGATCCGGCGCTTTGGAGCGGTCGCTGGGGACCCGCGAGCGGAGAGTTTTTCTTTGGGGGGAGGAGAAGGAGCCGGAGGAGACGGGAGGGTTGGGTGGGAGGGCTTTCGCCGGCGAGGCTCAGGTGTCCGTCCCCGACGCCCTTCCCACATGGGCTTGGGGAGGCGCCATGCCCCGCCGGCCACATGCGGCGGGCGATGTTGCAATCCGCGCCTCCGAGGACCCGGGCTCCGGCTCGCGCCGCCTCCCTCGCCGGCCCGGGCTGGCAGCCGCGCGTGCACCAATCGCGGCGCGGGCCCCTCTGCCCGCCTGTGGGAACGCACGTGGGGTGGCAGCTGAACAAACTTGGTCGGAAGTAGGGATGACGTTCGCACAAAACGTGGTTACCTTGGGACTTGTCATTTAGGGAGGGAAGCCGGAAGGTGACAAGTTCAGCTTTGGGGGGGCGGGTTAGAAAGAGTCCCTGGTGATTGTTGGTTTTGTCACCTAATTTTTAGTGTCCTCATCTTCAGGAACGCCCTGGGAACTCTCAAACAGGCCAGCGAAGCGAGTGGGGGGCGGGGGGCTCTCCAAGGGTGTGCGCGCCATCGTTCGCTCCTTGAAACAGGAAAATGAACAGCAGGAGTGGGAGCTCAAGAGGAAATTTTACTAGCTTGAGGGGGGATATGTTTGGTTCTCCCCGCGCCGTCGCCCCGCTAGCTGTAAAGTTGAAGGAATAGTAGGAAGTGTAATCGGTTCGGGGTGGCCCACCTTGCGAGACCTGCTTTGTTCCTGCAGTTCCTGCCAAACCTTGAGTGTAACGCCCACTTTTTGTTGGACTGAAAGTTGCTCGAATGTGGTGAATGTTGTGTTGAGATATTGTTTCCACCAAGCGTTTCTTGGAATCCTTCCAGGTAAGATGAGACAAGCTCATGTTGTTATCCCAAGCAGCATTAAGATGCATTCTTAATGACATACTATTACTTTGGTGGTGCAGGGAGATCGAACCCAAGGCCTTCTCCCCCAGACAGACCTCTGCTTTTTTCCTCCTTCCCGAGACAGGGTCTCTTAAGTTGTTCAGGCGGGACTCACCCTTGCACCTTTCTTGTCAGAGTCTCCAGAGCTGGGATCACAGGTGTGTGCCACCCTGTACACCTGGTTTTTGAATAGAGGAACTGTTGCTGGTTTTCACTTGATCTTGGAGATAAGAAAAGTAGACTTTTGTCTTTAAAGATAAGTATGTAAATGAAGGTTGCTCTGTTCGATCACCAACTGCCGTTCTGTACATCCCAGAGCCTGTGAGGAGTGAGTCTTTCATCTTTCCAGTCTTAAGTTTAGACTCTCAAAATGCAGACCAGCCTTCACTTGACAGTTCAGCGCTGTCTCTGGCCAGTGTGTTCTGCCACCTCCTGTCTCTTGCCAGGCAAACACATGGATGCCTAAAATGTGCTAGACACAGTGTGGACTGAAATGGATACCTGCTCTTGGATCCTCTCATTCTAGTTTTCTCAAATGGGTCTTGAGTTCAGAGCACGCGGTGTAGGGAAAGGAGTTTACATGAGTGAAACCAGAGTTCTAATGGACATTATGAAAGCCTTGTCCCTTCCCCTTAGTGCTGTGAAGTGGGTTTAGAGTCTTAAAAACGGCAAAAACGTGAATGAATTTTCATGTTTGCCTATGAAGGCTCCAGAAGTAATTTTGGAGTAAAACATCACAATGGGGAATGAAAACTGCTTTCAGCCTGGACCACAGTTGGACTTGAGAATTACTTCTCATGTTTACCCCCGTTCATGTTGCCTTTCTAAAGAAGGTTATTTCAGCCGTGCTAGACATTAAAAAACAGTTCCTGTGCTTTTATTTCTAGTTTATTAGTTTTTGGCCAATAAAAGCACAGGAAAGCGTATTACTTGCAATCATGTGTGACTGACGTGCATATGATTTATCAAAAACTGGCCTCTTTGTATATTTACATCCGAAACATCTCAGGCTTTTTTCCTTTAGAATGGGCTCAGACTAAAGATTCTGGGTGTTCGGTCTTCCCGTTGCAAATACGCTCCTCTGGTTAGGATTAGAGAAGGCATAGCTAATGTGGGCTGAATGACTCTGGAGACATACAGGATTCTTACCTCCCGCAGAGAAAGCTAAAAGACTTGCCGAAGCACATCAGCCTAGCCAGACTCAAAACTAACCCTGCCCACGCCAGAGCAAGTCTTACTCGCTGTTTTAGCTTTGAGTTTACAAACTGGAGCCTTACTGTTCTTCCTTGGAAATGATTGTACACTTTGTGTTACGTAGAGAGACAGAATGGGTTACTCTTAATCAGGGAGAGCCAGTGATCCAGTTAAAGAGGGGCTTTCCTAGAAGATGCCAGATTTGGGTCCCTCAAACTGAAGAGGGTAAGGTCAGTGATGAAACAGGCCAGAGTCGTCACTGTGGCTTGAAAAGGCCTGTGACACCCTGTCTCAGGATGGTGGGTACCGAACCAGCCTGAGATGGCCTCAGTTTTATTAGTACTTGTGACTCCTGGTAGGTACTCAGGGTTGGCAATTAGCAAGCAGCTACTTTGTTCCTTATGAAAGTCTGCCTAGTAGTTCAGTGTGAAAATGATGTGTGGACAGTTGTAGATCTACCTACACTTTTCTCTTTTTGTAGTTAGGAAAGTTTTCTGGGTTAATGTGGGAAACGTGAAATTCTTTCCTCTTTGTTTTTGGAGACAGGACCTTACCATGTAGCTCAGGCTGGCCTTGAACTTAGTTATGTAGCCCAGATGGGCTTCCAACTCATGGTGATCCTCCTGCTTCAGCCTCCTGAGTGCTGGGATCACAGGCATGTGCCACCGTGTCAGCTGAAACATGAATCTTTAGCCAGCAGCTTTTTTCAAGTGTTTCTCCATTATGAACTTGGTTTATAACTTTAATGAAAAGTTTCAAAGAAAAGGTGTAATCTTCTACAGAGTAGCTCTTTATGATATCTTCATTTGCTCCATTTTCTTTTCCTAATTGATTTTGAAATTAAGCTATTAATGGTTCACTCAGGTAGGTTTAGGTTCTGTATAATGTTATAAAGACCTTAGTGGTATGAGCTTTATCTCTTTGTAGGTCAAGATACTAATTTGTCTGCTTAATCCTATTTCAGCCACCAAAGTCCTTGGCACTGTTAAGTGGTTCAACGTCAGAAATGGATATGGATTTATAAATCGGTATGTGTATGTCTGCGTGGTTTTAATTTGTGTTTGTGCTGTGGCACCAGCAGTTATAATAAATTCTTTACCATACTTTATTACTGGGTTATGTGAGTTGGAAGATTTCTAAGCACTGTAAATATTCTGTCTAAGCTAATGGTCATTAAATATTAAAATAATTTGTAGAACTCTAATAAATAGACTGATTTCCTAATCTAATCATGAAAAGAAAGAAGAGGGTAGCTAAATATACAATGAGCAACGGGAAGAGCCCTGGGATAAATGAGTCCGTACCCATAACTTCACAGAAGGAGAAATGAAGTCTGGTACTGGTTAAGCAACTTTCGTAAGGTCACACTAACGACTCCTGGAGCTGGATCTGTGGCCCTTGTCTGGCCCAAGTCCTGTGAGGAAAACAGTGCTTTCTCTAAGCTGTGGGGATAGCTCCTTCCCATATAGGAACTCGGGCAGCTGCAAACCCTAGGGAGAACGAGGGTGTTTTCTCAGGATGTTATCGTTTTCTCTGCTTTCCTCCTGACAAGTTCCAGTTGGTTCCTTGTCTGTTTTGGGAGGGTGGGGTAGAGAGATGGCTGTTTTAGGTTTCAGTGTAAGAAGAGCTTAGTTCACAGCTGTGCCCTGCCTTTTAGCTGTCTTGCTTTGCTTTTGCTGGGAGGAAAATCTAGGGCTCTGATTACATACCATGTGATTTAGAAAGACACCCGCGAAGAAAGGGGTGTTTCTGTATATTAAATCCTATCTTAAGCATTGTGGTAACCCGGGGAATAAGGTAGGTGTCTTGTGTCTTGTCGAGTTACAGGTTTTTAATGAGGATGGATGTTAGGTGTCTCAATGGAGTTTAGAGGATAAACAAAAATTTATGTTGTATTTTTAGATCTTGAAAGCTAAATTCTTAACACATCTGTTCTTTTAAGTTTCTGTACCCATTTAGTACCTTTAACTGAGTTTTTCATCTCCCAACAGAAATGACACCAAAGAAGACGTGTTTGTACATCAGGTAAGAAGGCTTATAAATGTCACATTTCACTGGATGAGATGTCTGTGCAGTGTTCTTTCCCCAAAGTGAGACCTGTGCATTCATTATTGTATTTTAAACTTTTCGTGATGGCTTCTTGATTTCTTTTCTTTCCACCAAGAGCTCACTTCTTTTTTTTTTTGAGGCTTCTGAGTCCTTAGAAAAATTTCATTTTCCTCATTTTCTCAGCATCCTTTTTTCTCCAACCTCAGGGCTCCTGTGTAGCAGCTGGCTTTTGCCTAGGTGCGCACTGGTTAAATGTCCTCTCCCTGAAGTGAACAGCACAGGGAGGCAGGCCCTTTGGGGATGGACCTACGCCTTGGGAAAGCTGTCCCTGCCCCGATCGCCCTCCCTCCTGTGAAAGTGAGGATTGCTCAGCACACGTCCAGGTCAAAACACCCACAGTCCCTTCCATTAAAACACACTGGAAAGAAATAAAAAATGGGTTCGATATCGAAGATGAGTTTCTCAGCTGCGGGTGTCTTGTCTTTCTGTACCTGGTCAGCCTTTTATTATTATGTATCCTAAATTGATTGCTTTGAAAAACAGGTTAAGAGAAGTTACATCTGTCTGCCCCATTCTTTTTGTACATGTGGTTTTCTGAGCTGCCTAAAATAGGTGTGTTTTTAGTGAGTGACCGCAAGGATATTCACAGCAGCAGGTACTAAGGCCAGCAGCGTGTTTGCCTGCAGAGCTTTGTTCAAACAGCATCTGGTTTTCTCTTTGGGTTTTCCGTCCGGTTTTGTGTGTGTGTTGAGGTGGCTTTTGGGGGCTGGAGATAAAGAACATCTGAAAAGCTGCCTCTGCTTGTGGTATTTATCCTTTATATTTCTGCTTGACCGGATGCCTTTCTACTGCATGTAGAATTCTAGTGCATGGAGATCATTTGACTTTTAATTGCGGTGCAGGGCTCTCTAAGGTCCACTCATGACTTCCGGGGGTCACCAGGCTGCTGGGGGCAGCGCCCGCTGGAGTAGAGGGTTCCTACAGTGGTGGCCGCCTTACGGCGGTGAGGCTAGGCTGTGAGTCTGACCTGCTTCCAGCCCCGGGAGCTGGGGCGGTGAGTGAGTCACTGCAGTGTGCCGAGGCCTGCCCGGTCTAACAGGAAAGAGGGCCGGGCGGCAGGGAGGGGCTGTTTGGAGAGGCTGGCTGTCCGGGCCACTGCTTGCGCACACATCCTGTCCTGAGCTGCCTCTTCCTCCGTGGGCGAGGCCTCTGCCCTGCTGGCTCCCTCTTTTATTTTTCTCTCCCTCCTACTCAGAGTAGGGAAGGGCTGGATTACACGGGCCTAATCGCTTTATAAAGTAAGGCTGACCTACTTCCATACAAACTCAGAGCCCCTTTAACTGTTTAGGAGATGCCAGCCAGGGAAAGGGAAATCGCTGCAGGAGTTACTCTCTCCCTTCCCTTGACTGGAAAAGAGAAACGCTTTTTCATGAGCGGATAGCATCTTTGTTAATCTTTTAATGTGTTGTTATGCCTTTAATGTATCATTAGAAAACTTGTCAGTTGGAATGTGAATGGTATAAAGGGAATCATGTTGAATAAATATCACGCAGATAAAGCACAGGGATATGGATTTTCTCTCTCGTCTCCTCCTGTAGGGCTGTTCTCCTGCAAATTCAGATAAACCCCTTGTGTCACCTTAACTGTAAGAATGGGATGGCAGGAGAGAGGCCAGATTATCTTACTGTTTTTTTTCAGTACTGGGTGTTCAGCCCAGGGGCTCACACTTGCTAGGCAAGCCCTCCACATGGGACTACATCCCCAGCCCTTTTTTAATTTTTATTTTGAGATAGTTTTGCTAAATTGCCAAAGTAGGCCTTGAGTTTGTGATCCTTTTACCTCAGCTTTCCCAATAATTGGGATTATAGGTGTGTGCTACCACACCCAGCACTAGTATGTTTTGATTCCTGAGCTCATCCTGCTTACTCTATCAGAACTATTTGTCCCCTTGGTAGTTTTGGTTTGGTTTGGTTTTTTGTGTCTTTTTGAGACAGGGTCTTGCTATGCAGTTCAGGTTGGCCTTGAGCTCCCCTTGGTAGTTTTAAAATTCCTTTTTCTGTTTATCATCCACCCTGCAACCTATGTTACAAAATTCTTTTTTTGTTTGTTTTTTGAAACAGGGTCTCACTATGTAGTTCAGGCTGACCTCGAACTCGCAGCAGTCCTCCTGCCTCAGCCTCCCAAGTGCTGGGATTACAGGTGTTGGCCACCAAGCCCCGCTCAAAAATGACTTTGAAGTTAGTAGTTGCTTAAATGGATGTTTTTAGGTGTAAAAATCCAATAAAGCTGTTTTCTTCCTTTGCCGATAGAGCTACAATCTGAATTTTAGAAGCCCGGTAGTTTGACGTAGCTATCGCTATCAGGAACTAAGTGATCAGAGTAGAGCAAGTCTGTAGTAACTATTTCTCACTCTCAAGATGAAGCTTGAAGATAGCACAGTCCCAGAAGTAGTGTGGCCTGTCCTTGTACAGCATTCGTTATTTGTTTCGTTTTGTTGTGTTTTGTTGTTCGGGAGATAATTGGTCTGTGGGAGGGTGCTGATGGGAAAGCAGTGATAGGCGAATACTTTCTTCGGGTTCACTGCCGTCCACTTGACAGCAGTGAGGTCACTGCAGTATTGGCCGGGGTCGAGGTCTATACCTGAGATAGAGTTGTGTTTCCTTGGTAGACCGCCATCAAGAAGAATAACCCTCGGAAGTATCTGCGCAGCGTGGGAGACGGAGAAACGGTGGAGTTTGATGTGGTCGAAGGGGAAAAGGTGAGAAATGGTGGCCGGGCAGCCAAGTGTGTCGCTTTGCACTTCTGTGTAAGCAGCAGCCCTCAGCCCTACTCCAGACTGCTTCTCTGTGATAAGAGGAAGTAACTTTTAGGTAGAAGTATCCTTGGTTTTTTTAAAATGGGATTGTAAATATTCTTTGAATTTTTTTTTTCCTTTATGTATAATTTCTCCATTTTTCATTTATTAAATGATAAACTTTAATTATGGAAAAGCTAGTTTCTCAAAATTGAAAGAGATCAGTTTTATTTTGGCACCAACTATGAAAAGTGAACTGTGTTAAGGCATTAAATACAGATAAAACTGGGTGTAGTGGCAGGCGCATGCCTGTAATTCCAGCACTTGCGAGGCTGAGGCAGGAGGATCACTGCAAGTTGCAGGCCAGTCTGGATTACATAGTGAATTCAAGCAAGGCCAGGCTGAACTACATAGTGAGACCCTGTCTCAAAAAAACAAAAAACAAAAAAACCCCAGAACAATAGATAAAAGCTGCTTTCGAGCAGACTTCTTTCAATAAAATTTTCACACTGATTCGTAGACATTTCTGCTTAGAAATAGTACACAACTAAGAGTATTTCATTCTTTTTTTTTGTCTTTTTGAGAGAGGGTCTCACTGTGCAGTTCAGGGTGGCCTTGAGCTCACTTTGTAGCCTGGGCTGGTCTTGAACTCAGAACGATCCTCTTGCCTCAGCCTCCCAAGTGCTGGGATTACAGACGTGCACCACCATGCCTGGCTTCATTCTTAATAAAGGGAGATTCCTATTGAATAAACTCACTGCTTTCTCTTTGAGCTTGGATTTTGAAGAGCTGAAGGCATCTTGATAGACTGTCTGAGAGCTCTTCAGAAGTGTTCGGCCGAGAAAGCTGATGACTCATCTTGAAGAATACCTACAGAATTGTCCCATGCCATTATGTGGATATATAATATTAATGCCCTTATGTTTTGGTTTCATTGGTCTGTTAAGGTATCAGTAAAAGCATGTGGACTTAAGATTAAAACCACTTAAAACTGCATATGGTGCCTGGTGTGGTCCACACACCTACAATCAGAGCACTTGGGAGGCTGAGGCAGGATCACTTGAGAGTTTGAGATGGTCTGAAAAAAAAGTGGAACTCTCCTTATCTCAACAACCGCCCCCCTCAAAAAACTCTCAGCGTGTGGTATAACTGCCAGGGTAGACAGTCATTTCAGCTGAGTTATAGACCGAGGGACTGATTAAGTCCCATACACTTCTCTTTGCATTGAGATATCATCCCAGGGTCTTTCTTTAGTTCTGCATAGTAGTGGGGTTTGAACCCGGCATTTACACTGAGGTTCGTCCTCAGCCCTTTATTTCTTACTTGGAGGCAGGCTCTCAAGTTTGCAGAGTCAGTGTCTGTATTCTTAACAGCTCTCACACTTTCGTTTTGTTCTGTTCTGTTTTTTCATTAATGCACATTAGATACACAAGATTTGGGGTTTCATTTTCATATTTATATGCGTATTCACACGTGCATACAACATACTTCAGTCCTTTGTATTTCCCTTGCCCTCTCATCCCTCAAGCTGTTCCCTTTTAAAATAAAAACACTGTTTCATTTGACACAGAGGTGGTTCTCTGTAACAGTGTGCCCCCACCCCCGGGGGTCCGTTTTCCAGACCTCTGAAGTTGCACATCGCAGCAACAGATGCTCTGTAATGACCTTTGATACAGTCAGGGTTTACATTTTTGTTTTGATTGTGTTTCCTTCTGCATGCTTTCAGAACCTGAGGTTTTACAAATTGACTGTTTTGAATCTCTTTTGTTCCACTATGTTCTTAGATTTTGGTTTTTTTTTTTTTTTTTTTTTTT